ACTTCTGTTGTGTCTTGAACCACAACTTCTGTTGTGGGTGAGCCAGTATGATATTTGAGCTTGGATCTAACAATGTTGTCTAGTATTACATGTGGAAATCTCTCTTGTTCCCCACCCCACCCTTAGCTGAATAAAACAAACAGCAAGGCAGGCTGTTGTTCTGTACACATGGTTCTTTCCATGCTGTTGTTAAGTTGACTTCTCCCTCGTGTTTCGAGGGAAATGCACAATGCAGAGTGGCAGAAAGTTGTGATGCAGTACCAGTACTTTGGCTACAGCTCATTTCTGCCAGTCAGAACAATGAGTTTAAGTACATGAAGTCAGTAGCTGTAGGACATTTTCCTGTCTTTCTCCTGAATGAACTGTGCCACAGCTGCTGATGTACGGCCCTTTTCACATAACTGCAAACCAGAAGTGTTTGCGTTTATATAAAACTTCGGGATAGGAAGAGATTATTGTTTTATAGAATCATGAAGCATTAATATAGCAATCTTCCTGAAGTCTTTGTTGAGCTGTTTCTGTAACTTTGGGTCTGAAACACAGGAATAGGGAAGGAAAAAGAAAGTAAGTATTTAATAAGCATAGTTATAAGCAGAATTGCAGTTTGAAGTTCATCTATAGCAGTTTTCTTTGAGCAGTTATTTTAATGCCTCAAATTAATATTTTAAAGTTCAGAAATCCCATTTTTGAAAGTGTTAAATTTTGAATGCCTTTTAATGCTGTAGGTATGTATTTGATTAATTGATGAACATCTTATGGTCAGTGAGTCTTTCTTATGTTTTCAAATACACATCTAGGATCACTAAACACTGACAATATTGCTTTTTCACATCCTAATGAGTCTACTTATGTCTAAAACTTATCTTTTTATATTTAATGCTTTTGTTCAGCATTTTTTCAAAAAATATCTCTTGCAGTCACAATAAAGACTTTATGTAATTATTTTGACATTTACATTCTTTATTGGCACTTTAAGGGATCATTAATGTATTCTCAGGACTACCTGAGCTTTTATGGCCCCTTTTAAAATTAATTTGACACACTAAAAACCTTGAATATATTATATTTGAATTGCCTTGAAGTTGAGTGGTGAAAGGTTTTGGAGTCAAATCATAGTAGTGACAGAAAAAATGTTACCATGAAAAGTAGTGTTGAAATTTAAATATTAAAAATGCCTCAAAAAAGTATTCCATATACATGTTTGTTTATTTGAAAACTTGATTGATTTCCTTTGGCAAGAAAAAGGAAAAATCAACAAAAGCACTAGGTCTTATTATTTAAATAATTATATTCCCATATTTCCTAGTGATACACTCTAAATATGAAGTACACCTTTCCTCAAAATATACAGGAGAGGTATCTTAAGACTAAAATTGTTTAAATTTATCTAGCTATGCTGGATTGCAGTCTTTAATACTTGTATGAATAAATGTATATAATATCAGTTTTTGGGTAGTTAAAAAAAATGGTTTTTATCTCTGTGCAGGTAAACTGTCTGAAGATTTTGAAAAGGGCAATTTCTGAAGCTGTCATGCTATGTTCTTGGTGTTACCTATTTACACAGTTGCAGATTTAACATGCAGCATTTATTTAGATGTTTCTTTTTGTTCACAAGCCAGAATCTGGGAAACTGTCCTCCACTGCTAACTGCAGGGATTTATAGCTTTGTGAAGCTCTTCATATGAGATTAAATGTTCAGGTGTTCCACTTGAAGGAATATCAATCTGTTCAATTAAAAATCAGAGTTCTCAAAATTGTTTTCACAGTAAGCTTACACAACCTTGTTAATACGAACTGAATTATGTTCTCAAAGGTGACAGTGTACTTGTATTTGAAATGTTTTGATTCACCACAAAATAGAAACTGCAACAGTGCCCAAGGTCAGAAAAAATGGATATAAGCACTGTTGTTTTCTCAATAAATGCAAACTTTTGCCTTAGTAGATGAAAAAATATTTCAGAATCCTTGCAAATCTGTGTAGACTGTGCTTGACTAGGATGGATTGAGCAGGTTTCTCAGAAATGTGTTAGTGCTTTGGAAGGATGTATGATGGGAGGCCATAGAGGGTGGGCATTTGGATTTGTGAGCACCAGTCACAAGATGAGATGCCAACGATGAAGTCTGGGTGATCACAGTCAGTGGAAGTCCTAACAGTCCATTGTTTGAGATCTCCTCAAAAGTCTGATAACTTCTGGCTGGAGATCTGATAAAAGATATTACATTATTCATAGTAACAAAGATTGTCCAGAAAAGAGGCCCTCAATTATTTCTGAAGAATACTGTCAGTTTAAATTGAAGAATTAACTGTCACTTGTCTTCTCTTGTCATCTATAACACAAATATTCCTATGAAACAGAGAAATATTTTAGATATTTATGCTGTCCTTAGAACTGTAATTTTGAGAGTGTGTGGAGGAGCAAGAGTTTCTTTAATCTAGAAAAATGAAAGAGAATAGAAAACAGTGTTGTGGTTTGGTCTGTTAAAACTACAGCACATTTTGTTTTCTAATCTATGTTTGAGCCCATAGCTTCACAGCCAAAGAAAAGCAGTAATTGGGCTGTTTTTGCCAGTAGATCAATGAAAAGTGCTGAAAAAGCACTAGAATCACAAATCTGCCACTGTCTTATAGACTTGTACTGGGACAGCTTGAATTTTAAATGAGTCTGTTACACAAGAATGAGAATCCAGGTCACTCCTTATGTATAATGGATATACCATACCAGCAGAAATAAAGGTATTTAAAGCTTACTTTTTATAGCTGGATGGGTAATTAAAATATTACTGGTTTGATGAATGTTAACAAATACACCAGTTGCTTGTCCTCTTTCTTCTCCCTCGATGAACACCCAGCGCCAATATAAAACAGAAGGAGAAGATAAATAAAAATATGCCATTTTGTTTTTACTTCTTAAGCCTTACTCCAGTTTCACTCAACTTGCAGTCACACAGATGATGTTATTTGAACACTACAATTAAGTGTTTAATAATTAGCTATATGTGTACCAGATGAGTGGGGTCTGCATGTCATATCATTTTGGTTAAACAGCCATACAATTTTCATGCTAATATATTAAAACACTAATATTTTCTTAAATATTTCCTTATATTTCTGTGTTTAAATTAAATCCTGAGGAAAGATGGTAAGTGCTTTATAGATTTACCTACTTAATAATCTTGTATCTGATGTATCTTCAGCTGTTTTCTGGATATGCTGCAAAGGTCTCAGTATTTGGCTTCTGGTAGGCCAGGATTCCAGCAAGGTGCACACTCTGAAATGCATCTCTGTGGAAACAGCTGGAATGCAGTTCCTGTAGAAATGAGCTTTTGCTAGCCTTTGTGAGAAGCACTTAGATCAATAACTGTGCTCTGGGCAATGACTGGTGAGCTTTCCAGGTTAAAACTAGCACTTACAGCATTGTGTTTCCTCAGAAAATAGCATGATATTCTCCTGGCAATGAATTTTAAACAGTCTTTGGGTTTTGGGTGGTAAAATTTGGCACTGCTTAAGTTTTCATGTGGACTCTGCATATAGCCTGTTTTAAATAATACTGCAGGTATCCTAATTACAAGATGCCACATTTTGGAGTTCATCATGTTTGTCTGAGAGAGGGTGGCTTTCACTTTTGATGAAAACTGTCGGGCAATAAAGAAGCACTTGTATGTTTGTTGCATATATATCCTGGAGAGTTGAACAGACTAAATGAGTTCTAAAATTTGAAAACATAGATCTCTGTATCAAGGCCTGATAAAATCCATTGCCTCTTTTTTGTTCTAAAATTGTTATTACAATCTGCGTGTGACTGGAATTAATCTCAGCATTTTATACCTAACTAGCTTCATGTGTCAGAGAGGAAATAGGCTGGTTTTTATGGGAACTGTAAATTGGCCATTGTGCATTTTGTGAATAAATGTATATAATATCAGAGAATATCAGGGTAGTAATAGGCTTTCTAGGTCATTCATAGGAATGGCTATTCCTCATTTGAGTAAAAACTTTTGCTGGACAATTTAAGATGTTCTGTAAATTACCAGTCCTAGAGGGAGTTCTATCTCAAGAGTATGCATCTCTCTTTTTCACCGTTCCATCACAGTACTCCTAATGTGATGTGGAACAGTATATGGTTAGAAAGAAGCATTTTGAGCAGTCGTCTTATGTTGTTTATTTTGCAGGGGTTTGTCTGGTATCTTGCAGTGATTGGTTTTTTCTTGCTTTCTGTTTTAGTGATGTATAAGTGAATGGAAACCATTAGCTCATTTCACATAGAAATTTTTGGTTACTGCAGACCTAGATTTGAATCAAAGCACATGAAGATGAAAGGCTTTATAGCCTCCACTCCTAGTCCCTTGAGCCTTCCGAGGCTGTTCTTGTCCTTTTTAAGTTCATTCATGTCCTGTAATGGGAAAAAGAATTATTTACAGTTCAGTTTCTCCCCAGCATAATCAGTTATCTTTGAGTTGGCTTTGATTCTTCTCTGTAAATTTATTTTTTAGCAGCGTAGAAGGAATTTAATTTGATCTTTGCACTTTTTTCCCCGCTGTAGTAGCAAGAGTTAACAGAATAAGAAACAGATTGTAAGATGCAGTATAGAAATTACAGTTTGCTGTCATTTGTGGTTTAAGAAAAGGGGGTGGTATTGAAAGGGCTTGAAAGGGCTTTAATGAATATTGTTTAGTGTTTTTGAAACCTAATGGTCAGAGGCAGCAACAGAAACAGCCTCAGAGCTTTTAGGGTGAAGTGATTAGCATTTTTCCTGATGGAGGTGATTGTTTCACCTCCTCTTTTATGTCAGCGTTTTTCACTGTCTGTTGCCTTTTGTTTATATTCAAATGACATACCGTTAAAGAAGCCTTTTTTTGTGTGATTGCAATGCTTTTTCCCCTCCTTCTGTAGAAAATCTGTTTGCCACAGACAGGCAGAGCATGTGTTTCTCTTGTCTTGGTTGGGTGCACAAATCTTCTTTTATGTGCGCTGCTTCTTACCCTGTTGCCTAGACGATCGCTGGCTTTCACTAAGAATGTCTGGTTCTCGTAAAGAGTTTGACGTGAAGCAGATTTTAAAAATCAGATGGAGGTGGTTTGGTCATCAGGCATCAGCCCCGAACTCTGCAATTGAAAACCATCAGGGAGACTTCTGGAATAGAGGACAAAATGTAACAACTGCTAGCAGGAAGTTTTTAGACTCGGGTAACTTACCTTTAACATCAGTTGGTTACAGAAGGTCCAGCCAACAGGATTTCCAGAATTCACCTCTTTGGCCAATGCCATCCACCTCAGAAATCCCTGCATTTGAATTCTCAGCAGAAGACTGTGGAGGTGCATGTTGGCTTGGCAGACAAGAAACAGATGATAGAGCAAGTGAAGAAGAAAATGAATCGGACAGCAGCTCGTGCAGGTTAATTATTACTTTCCTATTGTGAGAAATGTGTTTTCATTTCATGTTTGTAGTTAGTATGCATATGTAGGCTAGCCTTTGTTCTGAACTCAAATGCTTCAGAAACCTAGCAGCTACTGTGCATCAGAAACAGAATATTAATTATAATCAGGTTCTGTGTGTTTACTAGGACCTTTTTAAGGCAGTCAGTGAGGATAAACAAAGTGCAAACATGAATGCACTCGTGTTTTAAACAGTGTACTAGTACATGCTGCTATGAACAAGGTACTGCCCATTACATGGTAACGTTACAGAGTGCTTTCTACATTATTTTGAAGTGATACTGATCGTTTAGTTATGTCAGTTAGGAGAAGATTATGAAAATGTAAACTTCTTCTGATTCTGACCTCATGCTTCCATGTGTATCTATAGAAGACAGAGAATGAGCTGTAAAAAATACTTAGACTATAAATCAAAGAAAAAAATTACATCAATTGAAAGTCAATCAATTTGTGCTTTAAAGTGGTTCCAGTAACCCATTTGGTTGAATTAAACTGTGCATTTGGCAGAAAAAGAAAAAATGTTTCTATTGCATCTGTAAAGATGTTTTGGTGTTCTTTTCTTACATATCATTACTAAAGATGAAACTGTAAAACTTGTTCTTGAATTAAAGTTGTTTGCCAGTTATTGTAAATTAGGGAAGTTAATAACCTTTATTGTGAAATATCGGTTAAATTATTTTATTTCATTTACTGTATAAGTCAGTCAGTCTTCACTAAAAGTATTTTTCCTGTTTTGTAGCTCAAGTAGTTCATAATTGCTTACCATTTCAGAAAATGTTATGTTTGCTTTGTTGCTTTTAAGACAGCTTTACACTGATGTGGCATTTCAGAAAGTGTGGCTACTTAAAAGGGTACACTGTTTAATAAAGGCTATTAAGGACGGATCAATTTGCTTATAGCAGTTGAGTGTTTTTCATTCCTTAGGAGAAGAATCAATTTAGTGGAAAGGCAAAGTAGTCCATAATATAAACACAAACTGTTTATTGTGTATATGACCTTTAAAGATTCAAGGAAAGGAAGGAGAGTAAAATTGCGTAGACGTGAACATAGTGTATTTGCTTTTATCACCCCATGTCAAAATACTAGAATTACTGGGAAAGGAAATCCTACATACTGCTGCATCATAACAGCAGTCCCACTGTGCTGCAACAACTATGTAGCTGTAAGAACACACCTCTGAAGAGATCACATTTTTAATGGCATTCAGATGTAAATTTTTAAATAGCTATGTTATTGGATATGATACAGGTATAACGTCATTTTCCATTTCAGCAACATATATTTCTGATGGGGAATTTTTACATGCAGCATTATCCCAGTTAGGATATTCTCTTCATAGCAAGACAATCACTGTAGGAAAATAAACGTGTAATTTTAAAAGACAAATGTGTAGATTGAAAATAGTACAATATTTGGTCTTAATTGTAAGAGAATAATGTGCATATGGTAAAACTAATTTATTACTTTGTTGAATTGGAGAACGGCAAATACATATTTAGGAGGTTTTAAGAAGTCTTGGTTTGGGTTTTTTTTCTGTGGCAGAAAATTTTCTCTAGTTATATACTAGAGAAAATGCACAAAGGATTTGAACTTAGTAAATTGGAAGTATATTTTAAATTATGTGCTTAATTATGTATAGCATCTAGAGGTTTTTGTATTTCTGTTACTGTCTTCTAATTCATGCTAATGTTTACTGACATGCTTTAAATAATTCAGATAAATTTTGAGTTCTGTGTCAGTACAATTTATTATGCAACTAATGGCAGTGTAGGAGCTTGCTTTGTATTGTTATCTGTATCTCCGTCTTATGGAGAGACTGCACTTATGCCATGTTTTGTTCACTTCATTTGTTAAAAATGTATAAGCTCTTGGACAGACTACACAATTCTGCCTAACACCTGGAGTTTCTCTGATATTAAGGACTTAATTAAATGTTTCTTCTTTGCAGTCTAAAGTATGGCTTCTTATATGTTGACTCGAGGGAAAAAGCCCCATACCAACACTTTTGTCTATGTAGTTTACAAAGAGCTTTTTTTTCCCATATGAAAACATTGTTGCCTCCTTTACAAGTAAATCATGTGCATGAAAAAGTCTTTTTAAAAAACCTTCTGTAGAAGCTATAGTTACCTTTTCTCTGTGCTCCTCTGTAACTTACTGCCCAGTTAGAAGCCCTAATAACATGAAGTAACAGAAACAGCTCTACTGCTTTGTTTGTATCAGTCCTTCCTCTTTGCCTTGTCATATAGCACAAGGAGAAAAGCATTGAGATAAGGTCTTTGTCACTGACATCATTTAGATCATTATGTGATTAATTTAGAGGAGAACTGCTGTCAGATTAATTTGGTGTTATATAGAGTTCAATTCCAAGTTTAGTACCAGATCTTTGACCAAGATTGTGTCTGAGATGCAAACAGATCATTCAGATTCAAGAATCAGAGCTAGTCAGCTGTAATACTGTTCACATTATACTCCTGTGTGTCATTCGTAACCAGCATTAGCTCGAATGGTTGTTTACTGGGACAGGGAGTTTTGAATTCTTCTGCAGATGTTCATCTCCTAGATTTCCTCTATTGCTGCTGTTTGTTAACTGTCCTGCATCCCTGAGGCAATGATCATCCTTTTGGATTCATACACTTTTAAGAATTTACCAACAGCTCTGCAGACTCTTGTACAGAAAGTGTAAGCCTATTAGCATTAGATTTGTTTTTCTTAACTTTTTTTGGTGGTGCCTTTGCAGCAATCTACAGACCTTGAAGGCATGGTGGAGATAAAGCTAAAAATACCTAGAGCGTACCTAGCGTGCAGAATGTTGTGTCTGCTTCATTTCATCCATGTGTGCACTAAAATACTGGAATTACTTTATTGTAGGTTGAAGTAGGGAAATGTATTAAAATATTTATATTTGAACATTAAATACAAGCAGGATTCCAGAATTCATCAGCTGTGTGCTGACCTTGAACAGTTTAGTAGAATGTCTGTAATTATTTAAAGACAAAGTCTGAATGTACCACGTGGTACCAGCTCTGCAGTATTGCTCTGTATGATCATTCTTGGAGTTAGTATGTTGTAACTTCCAATCTAAGTCTGCCTCTTCACCCTGAGTTTTCAAGCTACAGAATCCTTTGATATGTCTTTTTTTTCACCTCAGTCTCACTGATCTTTGAGGGTGTAAGTACTTTTGGAATTCTCCCAGGTTGTCATTGCTGTGGCAAATGGAACTGGAAAAATATTCATAAAACAGTTTGTGGAAGGAGGGGCATTTAAATTTTTCATATCCAGTTACAGGGTAACAGACACAAATAGCTTTTGAATCATTCTTTTTCCTTTTTTTTTTTAATTTTTGCAAATACTGTAACTATTAGACTCTCTCTTTCATGTTCTCTTTATGGACCACTGAACCTTAGTCTTTCTTTCTCCTGTTCCTTCATTATGGAAAATGGTTTGTAAGTTACTAGCTTGAGGGCATGTATGGGATTGAGCATCTTTAGATGAGAGGGAGGACTAGGCTTGACTCCATTGTGTCCTGAATACATTTTATTGTGGAGAACAGACACCATTGCAATTATTTTTTCCTTATTGAATGAGAGTGATGACCAGAGTTCTGTGTGGAAAATGTGCAGTTTTGAAGCTGGCAATAGCTCCAGTGAAATTGTGATCCATCAAGCTTTTTCCTTTGTGGTTTCTTCCTTTCTATCTGCAAAACACTTTGTAAGGTTGTAATGTAAATAAAATTCTGAGAGCGTGTAATTTTTTAAAATGTTATTAATGAAGTTACTTTGAGGAGTATGGGTTAATATATAGTTCAAACAAACCAGAAAAAAACACAACATATTAACCCAATTGAGAATGTGCTAAATTTTGATATGGAGATACAGAATAATTTCTTAAGTATTTGTGCATTGACCAGCGACCTACCCATTCCACTTCTGGTTTTTGTTTTTCAGGGCTACTGGTTAAAGAGTTGCTTTCACTGAGTACTTCTTGCTCATTCCCTTGAGAATGCCACCCTGCTGGCCAATATAATGTTGTCCATGGTTACATGGTTACATCTTTGTATGAGCCCCCAATTCAGTTTCCAAAATGGCCACAAAGAACACTTGTTCCAGCCTGTAAGAGGGCTGGTGGTGGAGCAGAACAAGTGACTCCTGGGCTGCAGGGAGCAGGGAAGAAGTTGAGACATAAATAAATGGCTAACCACAGCTTCAGCGAGAATATTTAACATAAAGTCCCCCAAGGGAAATCAGTAGGCAGGTATCTAATTTCTGATCCATTATTAGATTTAGCTCTGAATTAAATACCAAACTGCTTGGCTTTTTTTAGCTATCTGGGTATGTGCAAAAAAACCCCCCAAATCAAAACATATAAAACATAAAACCCAAGACCGAACCACAAAGTTCCCCTTTACAGAAAATCTCCTGTTGGAAATTTAGACTTTGGTTTTGAGGAGCTCTGTCTTGAAATGAGTATCCTACACCAAGGAGTGAGATAAGTGTTATGGTGGATTTAGCCCCAGGCATGCTGCTCAGTTCATGACATCTTTGTGGAAGCAGGGGTTGGGATGCAGATATTGTGAAATCACATCTTTCCAAATGTTATGGAAGATCCAGAGTACTTTATAAGTTGCCTGCATTGTTGAAAACTAAGCAGTGGTCAGTTAAAGAACTGTGAGGAGGAAAACATGCTTTCCACAGTGTATATCATTAGGATTAATTTCCTTTATCTCCTAGGGCCATGCATTCCTTTTACATTTTCTCTATTCCTGTTTTTTCCCAGTCTTCTCTGTTTGTGTATACAGATGGGAATCATTTTTCTCCCCATCTACCCTTGCTTTTCACTTCTGTTGACTTCTGATGTGCTAGATCTCATATCAGACACAAGGAGGGCTGTAGGAGTGGTGGTGTATCAATGTGTTTGTGGGGGTTTTTTCCCTGCATGCCCATATGTTTTTACTAGCTGAGTTTTGTTCTGGCCACCTTAGGTTAAGTGTGAAACATAAGTGGCAGGGAGGGGTTTGGTTCCTTACTGCCATCCTTCCATTACTTTTTCACTTTGCAGGGCCTTGGTGGATGTTCTTCCTTAACCATCTGACAGCACTACAGATACAATTGCTGGGCTGATCTCTGTGTCTCGCTTAGTTGAAGAGTACAACATGAAATGATTATACATTTTCCACAAGGGTCTAGATTGTTTTGGAGGAAGAAAGAAAATACGAAAAAAATAAAATAGCAGGGAAATGAATATTAAAACAAATAATGCATATCAACTTTAAAATCACATGTGATTTTTATTTTACCCTTTTAGATAAAATTTCACCTGAATATTGTGTGAACTAAGATTTCTGTTATTGTCTTCAGCAGAACCTCCAACAGCAGTCACACCTTATCATCTTGTCAAACAATGGAGCCCTGTACCTCAGATGAATTTTTTCAGGCTCTCAACCATGCTGAACAAACTTTTAAAAAGATGGAGAATTATCTTAGACACAATCAGCTGTGTGATGTGGTGTTAGTTGCTGGTGATCGTAGAATTCCAGCTCACAGGTAAGTTTATTATAAATTGAAATAGCTTCATAATTATTTACAAATGCACCATCAAAGTATGTCCCATGTTTTGTTTAAAAAAATGTCAGAACATCCTAAACCATTCAATTTAAACAGGTATATGTTTTTTAACATTTCTTTGGAAACAAAAAGTTAATTTTTCTATTGTATGCAATACAGAATAAAAAAGTTCAGGTTCTTTTTGTTTCGAAGTATACTTATGATATTTGCATAACAAACCCCCAGAAGTCCCAAATACACTCCCAGAATATTATAAGTTGTAGTGGTTTCTTTACCATAGAGCGATGTAAATTTTTTTCTTGGATTTAATTTTGTTTAATTTTTTCTTTGTACTAGCAATTATACTATTGGAGTCACAATTAACAATAAGGACAGTCTTCTGTTCACATAAAGGTTTTTTGCTCCTGTAGTAAGAAGAGTCCTTTGATAGGAGACTTCTGAACACTGGCAGTATTAGAGGTCTAAATTACTTCAAACTTTATCCTCTCTGTCATCTGTGTATTCAACAGATCATGTGTATGCTGCTTAAAATTTAGGAAAATACCAAAGATTGCAAAACACAGGCATGTGTAGCTGAAGCACATTATGGTATTTAATGCACAGAATTTGTAATTTTAATAGGAACCTAGGTATAAGTAAGCTATGGTTTCCTAAGTTGAGGTCTAGAACAGAAATAGCAACCTAAAGCATTCTTGTTTTCCATTGCTGATTCCTACTCCCACAGTGAAACTGCAGCTCAGTGCTGTAATGGTAGATGGGAAGATGTTGCTGGTTTGGAGTTGGTGCTTCCCTTAAAAAGCCAGATTTCTGCTTTTATTCGGATATTATCCACACTTGTGCTGACTCAGCTGAGGGAATGACAGCATGGGGATGGAAACTGACTTGAGAATCAGAGAGGCTTCTAAACCATAGCCTGCTGTTCCTCTCGGAGACTTCATTTTATGAAGTGTTCAAATTAGTTACTAAAGTGTGTTGTCCCTGTGAAAAGAATGAGTCAGATGAAAACAAGGAATAGACACACCCCTAGTGGGCACATGCTTTAGTAATTTAGGGTGAAAAAACTTTGGAGTTTTGGAGTGGTGTAAACAGGAAAAAATAGTGATTATAATAAGGAAGTCATTTTGCTTCCTTATGGAGCCAAGGTAACCCCTTTGCAATTTGTGTTTGGACTGTGGCTTATGTAATAGTTAAAAATGTGGAGAAAGGGTGCAGAGGACAGTCATGAATATCTTTTAAGGACTAGAAGGTTCTATTTGCAATGAAATAAATGGATAGAGAACACACTAAAAAGTCCTTTAATGCGGTTCACGCTTGTTTCTTATTTCCTCAGAGAACTGGCTTCACTTCTCCAGTTCGTGCTACTGTATCTATTTCTGTAGTTATTATTATGAGGCATATGCTACTACTGCTCTGGACTTCTCTTCTGAGGAGAAACATCTTGCTGTAGTTAGTATATTCTGTGTTAAATATGTATGAAAGTTAAAGCCAAAGAAGCACACTTTGTGCTTGTAGCAGGAAGTGGGAGGCTTATGATTCTCTCTTGTTCACTTTATAATGTTGGAGCAACTTACAACAAAGCTTTGCCTTTTGCATAATAAGTTCTTTCTCTAACTGTTTTGTTTTCACAGAGAAACATAGCAATAACTGGCAGTCTTAATCTCAGTAAATCCAAAGTATCTCACTGAAAACTGATTTTTTTTCATAGTGGGAAGGATAAATATGGAAATCTTAAATTTCATTTAAATTTTATGGAAATTTAATAAGATGACTGCCTTTATGTATTTGTAGTAGCCAATGTTATAAGAAAAAACTTCTGTAGTAGTTTTTGCTGCCTCTATACAAGTTCTGACTTTTTTAGTATTGACTGCAGGGTGGATCAGTCAATGCATTTCAGAAAACCAGTGATTATTTTGTCTTGAGACTTAATAAGCAACAGAATATGTATTAAATACATCTTAGTTTAATGGCTTGGCATTCTAAGATGAGCAAGAAAACAGAAACTTCATTTACAATGGACAACTTTGTTTTCCTTTATTTTTCCATAAGAAAGATAAGAGTTTTTCATAGTATGTGATCACATAGAGCTGGTAAGAAAGAACATTCTTCATTATTAATATTAATCACACTCACAGAGAGGAGTATTCAGATTTTCAGTTTTGAACTTGGTATTTTTAATAATTCCTGTATTTTTAAATTATCAATTTCTACTTTTTATTGAGTGCTCTGAGGTCCATTATGTATGTTTTTAGAGAAAAGAGACATGAGTTTGGTGTCTGCCTTGGTAATAATCACAGGTAATGCATTACTGAAATTCTGAGAGGTTTTGTATCTCTGAAGAATTCAGGCTATGAGTCTACTACAAATAAAAGCATCACATGTAGTCGTGATTTTTCTGAATATTCTCTATTGTTCCAAAAGTGTTTATCTTCTTTTTCTGTGCTGAAATTATAGCTAAAATCTTATTTATAAGGTCGAAAAGCAAGTATGAAAAGGGGACCATTCTCCAGTAGGAAGAAATGTATTATATTCCCACCCCTTCAGCTTGCAGTTCCATAAAGAAATTTTGGATACTTTGATTTAATTTATTTAATTAAGTTTTTCATAGTTTTTTGTGTTTATTTTGTGTCCACTGCAATTTCAGATGTCTGCTGTTTATTATGTTTGTATTTATTACATTCAGCTAACTGTTATATCCAGAATAAAAGCTTGTTTTGTTTAGTAATAACCCACTGATTAGAACATTCATGTAGGAAAAGGGAAATGTGTGTAAATTGCTGCCCAGAGGGCATTTAAAGCCTGCCACATCCTTTAATCAGCAGTGTGGGCAGAGCAATTGTGTGTCTTTCTGTTGACACTGAAAGATGGAAATAGAAAAGAGATGGGACTTAAGAAAAGAAGGCAAATGGAACTTTGTGTACTCTAGGGTTTAGGAAGCTTGTTTGAAAGAGCCTGAACTCTGCAGTATCACCTTACAGCTTCAGTGAATGCTGACAGTGAGTTTCCAAGGACAGTTTTCAGCTCTTACACAGCCACAAACAAGGAGCTGCCTAGGAAGAGTCCCTTTTATCTTTCAGATCTTAAGCAGCACTCTGTCAGCTGAGACGGGTTTGGAGATACTAAACCTGTAAATTGCCAGGTTTGGTAGCTGTCATCATTTTACATAGTAATTGCTTTGGTGACCTAGAAAACTATCAAGATGGTGCAGTTTGTGGCAGTTCCAACAAGTACAGGTTTTAAAGTGTGCCACATGTTTTACTGGCTCTCAGTGGAAAATTCTTCAAAACATATTAAGCCGTCATGGTAGATCGTTCTAATTTGGATTTTGGATTTTGTCAGTATTTAGTGACAAGTGAATATCAAATCACATGTGTATAGCATTAATTGATTTTTATTGACTAGTGGGAAAAAGAAAAGGCCAGTTGGCTGAAAGTCTGCCTTTGTTTTCTTCTATCCTAGCTCAGTGTCACCTTGATGCATTGGCACTGTATATTTTAATCCCATTTCTTTCTTTGAAAAAACTTTTTTTTCTAAATTAGTCGAATTAAGAGTTAAGTGTACATACCTCTTCTAAGGCTTTTCATTGTGAAATCACTGCAAAACTGCTCTCAGTATAATTTGTGCTTTTTCAAATTACCTGTGTTAAACTACTTCTGGGCTTCACATCCTCTGTCAGCATGTGCAAGTCACCCTCTGGAAAGCACTTACCACTGTGAGGCATGTATACCTCCTCATGGATCTGAACACGTTTGCAAAAATAGTAAATGGATTTCATTTGTGTTAATTTCCTTTGGATGACTCTTGAGTCTGGAAATTACAGGGAGAAATTTGCTGATATCAAACCTCTGATAGAAGGCATTGGGTCCCTCGTGTTATTTTTTGGCGTTTCTTCAGCAGTTGTTTCTAAAATGTGTACAGTCCAGTGTTCTGAATAATAGTGCAGCTACTTAGTCCAGTTGCACTGCTGGGGGAAGAAAGAAAAGAAAAAAGCAACCCCCAAACTGTGATATGACTAAGTATTAAATTCCATTTCCCATTGCAGAAGACCTGTCTTTTTCAAGATCTGTTCTGTGTAGAAGTTCCAAGTCAGAACAGTCAGATGTGAATATGTTAAGTTGGTTGTTTTGCCTTTTTAAATTCTGAATTGGACCTGCAGGGATAATTGGGTTATTCAAACCACTTTCCTTTCCAGTGAGAACCCTTATTTTGTACATAGAAATCTGGTCTTGTCATCTCATTCTAGCATCAAAAGCAGTTGCAGAAATTCTCCCTTGATACTTTCATGAATGTACTCTCTAATTTACTCCACTTCTATAGATCTCTGAGAGGCAGTATTTTCATTTAAATGCAGATTTCATTAAACATGAGGTTAAAATGCCTAGAAGTGATGCCCGGGCCATAGCTTGGCAGAAAGTTCTGACTTTTTTCAGCTAGTCAGCTACAGAATAATTCTCATATTTCATTAACAGAATTTAATTTTTCTTTATAAGAACAGAACTTTGGGGTTTTTTTTTGACAAAACTTCAATCATACAAGGTGTTAAAATTAATCTTTTCCCCATGCAATTGTAACTCTACTTTGTTGCCTCAGCAGCTAGAAAATTACCTTTTCTTTTCTGTAAGCCTGTAAGCCTGACCAAATGGTCAATGATCAGAAAGTTCACAAGAAAAAAGTATTGTGAGATTAATTAATCGAAATTTTATTACTTTGCAGTTAATTAACTAAGAGACTGCTCCTTGTATTTCATTACTTTGTATATGTACCTGTAAATTCTCCCCTAAGCACTGGTGCTCACCTTTTCATTTAGTTTTGCTCTATTTTGTGGTTCCTGACCTCTGCCATTTTAACACACCAGTATAATGATTCAGCACAGCATAAACTGCCTGAAGTATTAGATTAATTGAATGTATGCATAGGGACTGTTTAATGTATTTGCAGTAGGCTGGGTTCTTGGGCTTGCTCTTTGTATAGATCCATACATATACCACATGTATTTATATTGAAATCTCTGTGGGCAAGGCAACAGTGAACTGCTACAGCACAAAAATTGATCTAAGCCACAAGGCCATTCCTGGAAGTCTCTTATTCCTCCTGAATAGTTATGGTTGGTTTCATATTCCTGCCTCATATAATTTTCTCTTTTATCCCAGTCTCTGAACACATGGAAATTCTTTCACATTTTTCAGAGTGACATTATTATTTGTAAAGAGTTATTTACTCTCAATAATCCAAAGAAATGTCCGTTGTGCACTAACATGTACTTACACAGTAAAATAGTCAGGATTATCAAGAAAGGCTAAATAGATACTCAAAAAAGAGATTACTCTGTATCATCTCCATGTTCACTGTGACAAGTTTTGTTATCAGTAGTAGTAATTGAATGTATATGTGTGCAGCAAGAGTAAAAGCATTTTAGTCACTTTGAAAAGGACTGGTAAGTCATTCTTTCACATTTAAAAATGTATCTAACATAATCTAAATGAAAATCAATTCAGTTTTATTTTAATAATATATATTCCAATTTATGTGAATTTGGGGGTGTTTATGTTTGTGTTGGCTATTAAAAGTTATTGCTTTGAAAGGGTAATTAGTTTAGATCAGTAGCAACTGTAGGTTTAGTATCAGTACTTCATTATTCATAGAGAGAAACTAGAGCATGGAGCACTTTGTCAATTTTTAAATGTTTTTCTCACTGCAGTGTTTCTTCAAAGGGCAAAGTAATGAATCATAAATTAACAAACATCAGGTTGACTAAGGTTTTTTTCTTTTCTTCTGTTTCTCTCCTTTTGTGCTGCATGTCGTACTCAGATTGGTTCTCTCCTCTGTTTCGGACTACTTTGCAGCAATGTTCACTAATGATGTAAGGGAAGCAAGACAGGAAGAAATCAAGATGGAAGGTGTGGAGCCAAAGGCATTGTGGGCTCTGGTTCAATATGCATATACAGGTAATTGAAGTGAAAATGGGAATTTCATCTAGTGAATTGTCCTCATGTGAGCATTGTATTCCATTACTAGATTTCAAATGCTCTTTACAAATTATTCACATTATTTAAATTCTTATAAATAAATAAAAATAAATCATAGAATATCCTGAGTTGGAAGCAACCTATAAGGATTCTCAAAGTCTAACTCCTGACCCTGCTCAGAGCACCCCAACAATCACACCATGTGTCCCAGAGTGTTTTCCAAATGCTTCTCGAGCTCTGTCAGGCTTGGTGCTGTGACTGGTTCCTGGGGAGCCTGTTCCAGTGCCCAGCCACCCTCTGGGGGAAGAACCTTTTCCTAATGGAAAAGGAACCTTTTCCTAACCCCCTTCAGGCCATTCCCTCTGGTCCTGTCACCAGTCAGCAGAGAGAAGAGATCAGTGCCTTCCCCTCCCCTTCCCTGGTGAGAAAGCTGTAGACAGCAATTAGGTCTCATTGCTGTTACCTAAGACAACCTGATAGGTTAAAGTTTCTCTGGTAATACTACATTGAATTAGTTAACAAATTATGTGAATCTATTAAATGTATCATGACTGACAAAAAAAGGAATCTCATTAGGATTCCCTTTCCTTACATCATTATAGATACTAATTTTGAAAACTATTAGTTATCTAATGCTGAGGGTGATGTTTACTAAGGCTTCTATTCTGTCATATAATCTGTAAATAATTCTATTGCCTTGGGGTTTTAAGGCATTTGTAAGATTATAAGAGCAAATTAATGTGATTTTCTTTTTGATGTTACTAGGTCGCCTTGAATTAAAAGAAGATAACATTGAGTGCCTGTTGTCTACAGCTTGCCTTCTTCAGCTCTCTCAGGTTGTAGAAGCATGCTGTAAATTCCTCATGAAGCAGCTTCACCCATCCAATTGCCTTGGAATCCGATCCTTTGCTGATGCCCAGGGTTGCACTGACTTGCACAAGGTGGCTCACAATTACACTATGGTATGTTGTTACATGAACTATCATCTGCTTTATTTAGTAAGGAAAATACAGAATGTTTTCCTAAATATAGTACTAATGTTTTTCCACCAGAAAACCTTCATAGTTTTCAAACAAGAATATCTTCCCATGATGAAAAATGACAAAATATCTGCAAAGTTGCTGGTTTAGCGTTGGAAGGAAGCACACAACCATAAACATTTCTGTTCTCTGTAACAGAAATGGAATTGTGGGGTATGCATTTAATAACATATTGCAAAAGCCTGTACTTCTTTCTGACAGTCAAAAACTACAGACTTCACAGTGGGGAAGCTGCCATCATCTATTCCAAAATTGCACATTACTAAATGGAAGTGTAGAGTTCCTTTTTTGTAATGAACTGGAGTAATCAGGTTCCAAGATATATTTGGGGTATGAATGTGAGCATTCAGCAATATAGATTCTGCATCATCCTTAATAATTTAGCAACGGGATGTCAGGCATCAAAGAATTTAATCCTAGGCTGTGGGATCTCAGCACATCGTTCCCGATGTCCAGAGATGCCAGGAGAACCCTTGGGGGTCTCGAAAATCCTGGAATCTTGCCAAGAGTGTTTGGTGGCTTGATTTTGATCCATCCACAGAAGTAACAAGAGTCTGAGGACAAGAGAATCACTTTAGAGTACAAGGTGTAAAAGAGACACATTTAGAGGGTGAAATATAGACTTTAAGGTTTTTGGTACAGGGGGGTTATGGAGACAAGATGGAGGGATCAGGGCGTGTCTCGTCCTTCTTCTTTCTTCTTCTTGTCCTCCATCTCCTGTGATGATGTTGGCACTTGGGGATTGGTTTATGGTGAAGGTGCACTTGCTAACATGGGTGAAAAGCATTGGGAAATAAAGGTAAATATTGTGTACGTAGATTTTAGTATAAAAAGACATGACCGCCCCGTGGGTGGTCAGAGAGTGCCTGTGACTGCTTGCAGATCAGACCTCTGTTGGGCAGACAGAAAATTTTGTAGATAAGAAATAATAAACAACCTGAAGACCGAAAAGCTGAAGAGTCCAGACTCGTCCTTTGCATCGCGCCCACCAAAGAACCACTCTACCCGTGTCCGGGCAGAGACAGACAGCTGAACCCGACACTAGGCTAGGTAATATGTGACTAAATACAAACTTGTACAATTATATTTTTCAGTTAACTTATAGAAATTCAGACCTACCAGCTTAAGTAAACTTCATCTGTTTAACAGTCATACTTTTATTTTAATACAAAATGTTCTTTTTTTTCTTCTCACAAGTGTATTTTAGTAAAGTTATCAGAAGAAGGCAGAAGAACTATGTCTGAAGCAAGTCAGTTCATCTGCTCTTTGCAGTTTTGTGAGGCATTTTGCTCAATTGTTGATGAAATTTTGCCTAAATAAGCTCTTGGGATTTGAATGAGGGCATGTAGATGCTGCATAAGAGATGTGGGAATAAGGATAGTAATTTGCTTATGTGTCATGGCATTACCTGCCATTAAGTTATTGGCTTAGATCCAAGAGTTGTAATTAATGTCTTGTAATTAGTATTAGAAATCCATGGCTCTTCCTCTTGCTGCCTTAGGTTTTGCGGGTTTGAAATAATTAAAAAAAAAATTACTTATTGGTTTAAATTAATTTAGTTTACTATGTATAACAGTTTAAAATAGCTTTTTTTTTTTTTCCATATACAAGACAATATTCCTCTGCAGTGAATGGATCTCTCAGATATTTAATATCATGGACACACAAATTTACTGAGGCAGATCAATAAATAAGGTGCAGATTGTAACTTACATGTTTCTATTCTTGGTCTTCATTATTGCAAAAACAAAAATAAGGAGTCTGCTGTTAGGTAGAATGTGCAGTGAAACAGTAAAATAAATGTGGCTTATGCCTTTGAGGAATATTAGAATTTATGTTGAATGAGACCAGTGATAGAAAAAATATGTGAAAAGAGAAACTCCCTCCTCTGATCTACTTGTTCTTTTTCAGAATAAGTATGTATTTTGGTCTGGGCAATTGTCATGTCCTTTTTAAGTGAACTGCCAAAATCAGAATAGTAAGAATTATTAGACTAATGCATCCTTAAAAGGGAATGTTGGCATTCCAGTCTTAGTATTCTGACTGGCAATTCATGACTTAGGGAAAATAGGGCTGTGAACTTTCTAAAAGCCATTCTTCTGCAGCATATCTTTCTTTCAGACCAGAGGAAAATAGTTCTGTGCCTTTTGGCTGTTGTTTACTTCGGTGGCAAAATTGTTGCTTTTAAGGCTTTGATGTGAACGAAATTCAAATTAGGTGGATTTTAAAAAGCCATTTTCAAAACTAATTAGTTGTGCTAGATGAATTTTTCCCAAGGCCTCTTTTAATGTTGTTTAGGTCCAACAGAGACATTAAATTGAATTTTAGTAATAATGAGTAATAGAGAAAAAGCTTCTTTATTTTGAAATGACTGTTGCTATGGAAACTGCATAGAAATGTCTAGTCCAATTGAATCTTCAATTAAAATAAATCCCCAAGTAATTTCATTTGTTTAAAAGCTGTTTGAAAAAATAAAATGTTCAACACTAGTAAGTGCTAGGTGCTTGATGCTCTTTCCATTAAGAAGTATTAGAATGTAAGGGTTAAGTACACCTGTAGTAGCTGGCAAAATTCTCTTTCTTAAAAGAGGGAATTATTTTTATGCTGCATTGGGCTGCATAGAACAGTGTGGGACTATATTGAGTACAGTTTATAGTTCTGGTTCTTTTAAAATACTTGTAGTAGAAGTTACTGAATAATATAAAATACTTAAATTTTAATTTACACGTGTTATTTTCTATGAGTTTTTCTTTGACAGAAAAGAAACCCTGATTGCCATTTAATATTTTTACAAGTAAAACAACTTCTCTGCTTTGAAGCTTTTTGTTACACATGTAATAAGTTTATAATCATCTTACCTGCTTCATTAAAATACCTTTTTACATGAAGTTTGAAATTCAGGTGAAATGCGCATTTGTTTAAACTGGAGGATGAATCAGTGAGTTATCCCATTAGGTCTGCCTTTGTTAATAGGGTTCTTCTGTCTGAGTAAAGTACATTAGTCATTGGAAAGGATCAGTGATTTAAAAAAAACCGAAGAAGGATTTGAATGTTGCACTTATTCCTATTACAGATATATATCATGCTAAAAGGAACTGAAGTATTGCATTACTTTATTGCTTACTGTGTTGACAGTTGATGAATTGTTTTGACAGAAGGGAACAGTTTATCAAAACTGGTCGATTATTGACATTACAAACTTAAGCTTGAAAAATCCTCAATATACATGAAATGAAACATGAACTGAAGCAATTCATAGTGGATTTAATGCTGTATAAAGAGCAACTCTGATTTTTACACATCACAGTTCTAAAATAGAGTTGATAGAATCATAAAATGTGTCCGGGTAAAGGTATCTTTTGAGCAAAGGTTGTCCTGTTTTGCTGTGGTTTATATTTAGTATTTGGGGCATACAGTTATAACTTTAGGAATTTTATTGGACTGGCTAGTATTGTATCTGCTTGCTTTAATGAATTTGTAATGGCATTTTTGCACAAAATGCCTCCTGTGCATTTTTATTGCTGTCTTCAGAGTCAGAGCAAACACCCCTTTTTGACATCAAGTTTGTTTGAAACAGCTGATAGTGTACCTTGAATGAAAACCAATAGATCCTTTTCCACAAAAAGTAAGCAAAAGGGAAGTTAATACTTCGAGATGAGGAAAAGCTAGCCTGTGTTATTTCCAGAACATGAAATATCTGTGGTGACTAGTGAGGTATTCTTAGGTAAGTGTCAGTAGCTTCTTCAGTAGCCAGATTTTAACTTTCTGATTTACAACTAAAAAAGAAAGAGCAGACATTCAAAACCTTTTGTGATGGTGCCTGAGTGCCTGTCTAATCATTATTGATCTGTTATGCATGCTTAAAGCAGAGTGAAAAGTAATTTTGTTTTTCATCAGAATTCTTTAGAAAGATTTTCATCAGAATACTTTAGAAAGTATGTGAGCAGTGATAGTATTACAAGATTCAGATAAAGTTAGTTTTGGAATTTGTGTGATTTCTGAGGAAGCCAGTGGATGTATAAAAAGAAAAACTTAAAAGAACAGAGTAATAGATTGGGTCCAAGCAGAGAAACCTAGGCAGTTTTGCAGAAGAAAAGGTGTGGCACACTTAGACCTGCTTTCTCCTGTAAGGCAGTAGTTGGGTAACAAAAAAATCATTGAGTTATGATTTGGAAGAAAGAATTAAAGAGAGATAATGTGTCCTTTTTTCTTGCAACAGTCTGGATAGGTTTTTCTTTTGTTAATGGGGAGCATGAAGAGAAGAAAAGAGAAATTTAAATTATTTCTGTCCACAAAGGGCCAGAACCAAAGTTTGCGATAGTGCCGAAAACAAGGATTTTACATTTTTGCACCTGAAATTGCAGTCCAGAATATCCTGCTCAGTAATCAACTGACTTGGAAAATACTCATTCACTTCCTTTTCACCTGTGAAAACCCAAGATATCTTTGTCTTTCAAGTTCCCTCAGTCCTGCCTAGCACAACAGATCAGTACTGCCTTGTCAAGACTGAAAAGGTTTCTGCATGCTGCTCAGCCTGTTTTGGAATCCAGAAACAGTGCAACAAGGAGTCAAGCTAAAATATCTGTACTGCCCCTGCACACAGTGCAAGTATTCAGTTGGTTGATTGTTTAGCATATCAGTCAAATCTGAATAAAAGTAAAGAAGGTGGTATCTGACAGCTGTTTGACTATTAATAGTTTACCAGGAAGTCAGATAGCTCAGTTCTTAGTGAAGTCATACTTAGTTGACCAGTGGACTGAAGCAGTCAGCAGACAAAATAACATTTCCTGATTGCTCTCCTTCAGATCCTGTGAGTCAAACACCTCTTGCTTTTTGGTTGCCCACGTTCAGAGTTTAAGCAGAGCCCCATGATTAGAGCTGCCTGTTGGGCAGCCTCAGTCCCTCTCAAGCTGCAGGTGTCTGATGCTCTCCAAGGTTTTCATCCTTCTGACACAGTGTGCAGGGAGACTAACCACCTCACTGCATCCCACTGTAGGGATTAAGTATCATTTAGAGATACACATCATGGCATCTTATTTTTTTGTGCTCCTAATAATTTTTTGTTCTGTACCAAGTCCGAGGCAGATCTGTAGTTAAGAGTATCAGCATTAATCACTCTGCAGTTGCTGAAGAGTGAATTTGAGATTATGTGAATAAGCAGTACCCAACATTGAGCATGAGGACTGCATGTCCCTGTCTTGGTTAATACATAAGCCTCAGGCTACTTATTTGATAAAGTTTCCAAGTTCTTTGAGGAGCTAATTTTGGGGTTGGGAAATTCTCTTTACTTTCAGGACCAGAAAGCAAGGGATTGAAACTGCAGATCATTTGTTCTCTGAAATATCCTGTTCTTCCACAGAGAGTTCCCATAAGAAGAAGGAAAGAAAAGGCTAATGAGGAGGTTAAGAATGCTAGGAGATACATTGGCTCCTTCTTTTTGTCTTCAGAATCTCTGTCTGTAAAGGAAGAGGAATTTTCAATTCTGGTTATAAAAAAAAACAGACATAGGACAAAGAGTGCCTGTATTCCCAGTGGAATGCTTTGATACTCTGCTTAAAAGGAGTCTCTGCTTTAAAAATAGAATGGAAGCAAGAGGAAACTGAACTTGTTCTCATCAGAAAGCAATGGTCTGCAAGCAACAAGAAGGAAAATCAGGCTTTTTACACATAAGAGCTGTTGAAGTGATGAAATCCAGTTGGAAAAAAGCTTTTCAAAGAGGATCCCTGATTGACTTATGCAAGATCAGCTTGTTGTTGCCTCCAGAGACAAAAGAACTTTTCATGCAAGTGCTTTCCCCTTCCTCTTCCTGTGATCTGGATAGACAATTTGGAAAGTTTAAGGCAGTAAGTGTTGGTATTTCTCTCCATCAGAGCTCACTGCTTGTTCATTCAGCAAAACTAAAGGCACAGCTCCAGCTTGTATACTCTCTAGGAAAAAGAACCAAAAAAAAGCAGCCAGTGGAAACAAATGAACTCAGTCGAATATGAGTTCCTGTGAACTGTGTGTTTAAACTGTGGAAATAATTTTGATGACTTCTCAGATTCAACTTTACTGCCAGGCATTTAATATCAGAGTGAAATAAATAACAATGCATGTGTAGTGCTTCTGAATATTGGTACAGTTCTTTTCACTGATTTTAATTCATATATTTGTTCAATTTTACTTTTATTTCATAATACAAAGAGTTAAATGAATTAAAGAGGAAAAGACAACTCAATCTCCCTTCTAATCTACTATAGCTCTCACTTGGAAGCACTTTTTTGTGTAGACAATTGGACCTTTGTTGTAGGAAAGCTTTTCAGATATTAAATATTTTGAAAGTTTTCTTTCCAAATTCTATCCACAAGTAGAATTATGCACACCTATAACATTTTGAGTTATTTTCCTGATTTCCAGAATTACCCATGGCATGGAGTAACTTTGATCTTTCCCCTTATAAATCTTGTATTGGTTTTATGTACATCTGGCTTTCATGTAAGATGGACTATTTCCACCTAATTAGTTTTTTCCTCTTAGCTCAGCTTTTTTTATTAGTCAGTATCTTTGGAGTACTGAGGTATAGCTTTGAAAGCATTAGGCCAAGCAATAAAAGAGAAGTAGTAACTTTCTTGCTTTGTTGTCATGATGCCCATTGCAGATATAATGCCAAACTATACTATTGTTTTTGTTGCCATTTTAAATACTAAATTCAGACCTGTTTTGCAGTGCATCTCTTGCTTCTTCTTGTGATATTCTCCCCTTTTTCGACCTAAAAATCCTTTTTTCTTTCCAATATGTGCTTCTAATCTACAGGTTTTTTTTATTAGCATGCAATTCTTTCTTTTTAAATCATTAAACAAGGCACTATGGCCGATTTTCATATTAGGCCCACTTAGACTTCTGTGTTTGTGGATTTAACACGTTTTGTTCTCCAGGTGTTTCAGAGGTGCATGTGATGGCAGACCAAAACCAGCACCCCATTAGCTGGCTATCTAGCAATCCACAGTGCATTTAATAAATAGATTGTAATGTTGTTATCATCATGAAGCTACTCTCAGTTTTGTGTGAATTTAACTGCAGTCTGAGCTACCAAAATACAAGAATATGTTGTGATTTTACTTGCTTGCTTTGCTGCCTTGTAAAGAAAGGTATATGGCGAGAGAGGATAGAAATAATATCACCCTTTTCTGTTACATCCAGGTTTTTTACTGTAATGGTGCTGATTGTGTGTTAATATTTCTGCTATTCCAGCCTAAACTGATCAGAATCCTCACAGAATATGCTGCAAATCCTCATATTATGAAGTAATCAGATATCAGCATAGGATGTGTTACATATTACGAATTTCTTATTTTGAAGTAAGGATTTGTTGCTGACAATGACAGGATGAAAGTTAGAAGATTGAATCCTATCAGAATAAATATTGTTAGTGTAGCAAGGCATGTGTAATATTGTGGATTCTTTGTATGTTTCGCTCCCCAGTCAAATCAGATCAATTGTATAAAACCTATGAAATAGCAAAATAAACTTAAAATAATCCATTTTAAATCAACAATAAAATTGTTAGTGTTGTTTATTTTCTCTGAAAACTTACTGCCACATTTGCATCTAGCAGTTATGAAAACAGTTACATGTGCCCAGTTGTTGTAGCATGTTGTGCTCTTTGCTTGACCACAGGAACAAACTGCATCTTTTTAACTGTACTGCAGAAAGCATTTCTTCACTTTGCAGTGCCAAGATATTAGCACCCACAACCTATGGCTTATTTCTCTGTCTGTCTGTACACTTTCCTCATTTGTTTCAGCACATTTGTCTGTGGGACTAAATGATTGAGTTGGGGAAATGATCAGGGTTGAAAATCATTCAGTACTTAAACTTTTTTTTTGGTCTTCCTTCCAATCAGTACTCCAGTGGGACAACTGAGAGATGACGTGAAGGGAGGGAAAAGAGGGGAGGATACAGTTGGTGTTCCATAAAATGTCTTCAAAGTATGATGCTGCCTCTATTAAAATACTTTTCTTTTTCAGGAAAACTTCATGGAAGTAATTAGAAATCAGGAATTTCTGTTATTGCCAGCCACTGAAATTGCTAAGCTTTTAGCAAGTGATGACATGAATATTCCTAATGAAGAAACTATACTGAATGCACTACTTACGTGGGTTCGACACGATTTGGAACAGAGAAGGAAAGATCTCAGTAAACTCCTGGCTTACATTAGACTGCCTCTGCTTGCTCCACAAGTAAATTGTTCAGTTCCTCTCTAGTTTATACCATGGTTACAATGGGTATAATGTCTACAGTATAATTATATTGATAATGACAAATCATAAAATTTATAGTGATCTGGATTCTTAGAGCTGCATGGAAGAGCTTAGCATCTTGTATAGGCATGATAGTTTGTGTCTCTGTAAACCGCAGCATATTCTGATTCTAGGACACAAAAAGGGGGGGGAGATTCCAGAAAAAAGTTGCTTTTCTTGTCTATAAAAATGCTTATCAAAGATATCTTAGTCACTAGAGGCCGTGTCCTTTTAAAATTTCTTCTATATGGAACTTGCACAGTTTATTTGGCTCATTACATTTCCTTCATGTAGAAATAGCTAGGAAATGCAATTTGAATTAATTGTTTGGAGTGATTTTTCTTCTGTTAACTCTTGATAGGCCATCACTGCATACTTCTTGTTCTTCCCAGTCAATACTTTTTCTCCTTCTTGGAGAAGATTAACAGAAAATGTAGAGGAAGGTTTGGGCTCAGTTTGTTTAAATAGTTGGGAATTACAGTTTTCCTACTCCCCTAGGAATGGCTACTCTTGTTTGTCTCAAAGGCAGGGAGGCCCTGCAGAGTGACCTCCCCAGATCAGAGGACTGGGCAGTCACCAACTGTACAAAGTTTAACAAGGGAAAGAGCCAGACTCTGCAAATTGCATGGGGCAACCCTGGATGTACAGACAGACTGGGGAATGAGATGCTAGCCAGCAGTGCCATGGAAAGGGATCTGGGGGTCCTGGTCAACAGAAAGTTGAACATGAGCCAGCAGTGCCCTGGCAGGCAGGAGGGACAACCCTGTCCTGGGGGACATCAGGCACAGCATGGCCAGCCAGGCAAGGGAGGGGATTGTCCTGCTCTGCTGTGGGCTGAGGCAGCCTCATCTTGAATATTGTGTGCAGTTTTGGGCACCACAATATAAAAAGGATCTAAAACTGTTAGAAAGTGTCCAAAGGAGGGCAACAAAGATGGTGAAGGGCTTTGAGGGGAAGCCCTCAAGTATAAGGAGTGGCTGAAGTCACTTGTTCTGTTCAGCCTGGAGAAGAGAACACTGAGGGGACACCTCAGTGCAGCTGCAATTCCCTTGGGAGGGAAGGAGGAGGAGGGGCAGACACTGATCTCTTCTCTGTGGTGCCCAGGGACAGGACCTGAGGGAATGGTGTGAAGTTGTATCAGTGCACATTTAGGTTGCAGATCAGGAAAAGGTTCTTCACCCAGAGGGTGGCTGGGCACTGGAACAGGCTCCCCAGGGCAGTGATCACAGCACCAAGCCTGACAGAGTTCAAGAAGTGTTTGGACAATGCTCTCAAGCACATGGTGGTCCTTGGGGATGTCCTGTGGGGTGCTGGGAGTTGGAGGTGATGATCTTTGTGGGTCCCTTCCAACTCTTATTTCATGATTCTGTGATTCACTTCCTGATAGCAAGTTTGTAAACTAGGTTTGATTATTTTTATTTGTTTTTTCCTTTCTTATTTTTCCTTGCTGAACCTTCTTTAGTAATATTTAGTATTTTCTATATAGTCAAAGGATTTTGCTTTATGACTTTCAGTTTGCTTAGTGAGAATTCTCTCTTAAGTGAAGAAAATAGGATTTTTATGGAATCCAAATAATAAGTAAAATTCATTAAGACAAGAAAAATGGAGTTCAATTAATTCACAGTGATAAATCACATGCACTACATTCTGTGTATTTCTTCTAATCTGATGTCCTCTTGCTGGATAGTAAGATTCTTTACCAAGCATTTTAGTATTTATTTCCATACTGATTATTATATAAAAAACAGGATTTTCTCAGTTGTGGTCTTGACTTTGTCATTCATTTTTTCTAGAAAAATAATTCAGAGTAAGGCAATTGACAAGGAGAAAATCATTCTTTTGTTGAACATTTAATTAATTGATAACTAAGTAACCCCTCCTGTATTCTTTCTGCTTAATTGGCTGTAATTGAAACATCTTTAGAAACTGAAAGTACAGAATTTATCCCAGAAATATGTACTGAAATCAAATTATGTCCACTCAGTAACTGATTAGGAAAATTGCAAGATGAAATACAGAAGCAAAATTATATTTTACTTATTATTTTATCTTTAATTTTTAATCTCATCTCCAAATATATATTTATATTTCTAAAACAATATTTTTCTGTTATGTTTTTATTTATTACTTTCTTTAGCACATTAAAGTGTTAGAGCTATGATTTTAATATGGAAACATTTAGTAGATGAGTAAACGTATTTGAAGTGCCCAAAACAGTCTTAATGTTTTCAGAATCAAGTTTTTCTTCATGATTATGTGACATTAGGCTATCTGACAGCAAATATAGCATAATTAAAAGCTTTTTAGTTTTATGGTTGATGAGTTAAAGGTATTGGAAAGAAATTAAATTAGAAAGTTGAACATCTTGCTGAAACCAAAACCATTGCAAGCAGAGATGCAGATACACTTTAAAAAAATCTTCAGGAAATACTGTGGAACTGTAACACTGGAAGCAAAGAAATTGTAAGCAATTGTTAGTTTTATTGGTTGTTTTTATGCATCCTTTGTAGACATCTCTGGTTAGTGCTAGCAGTGTCCTAAATATTTGTACATTTATTTTTCCTAAAGTTGAATATTTGACTGCCTCTTAAGCTGTAAGGTGGCAAATATTACTTCTCTGATAAATAATGAAAAAGATGAAAAAAATTAGAAATTTCTGAATTACAAGACAGCTCAGATTCCTTTTAGACAGAAGTTCCTAGTACTGGAGTGTCTGCACTACCTTTCTCCTTATCAGATTTGCAGTTACTATGATTTCATGCTAACATGTGATTTGTAAATGCTGTTAGAAAGGCTTTCAGTACAAGGACCTATGTAAATAATAAAACTTGAAAAAATGTACTCTTAGTAAGCCCATTTTAAGTTCTTTGAGTAAGGAATAATCATAGTAGTTTTAGTTTCAAGAGCCTGCAGACTAGATTGCATTTCTTTTTAAATTAAATCAAGTTGCTTTCAGAGATTGTGACTCTGTGCTGTGAGAAGTTCTTTATAGGTTGAGTGGGTTAGAAACTGTAGAAAATGTAGGTTGCATCTTGTTGTTGCAGAACTCACATTCACACATAGTGTTGCTTTAAATACTATGTGCTCCTTGTCCATCAGAAAAATATACTGAAAGTCTGAATTGGTCATGTTGTATTCAAGCCTTACTTTTCATGCATGCAGCTCTAAGAGTGTCTGATTTAGGAAATAGGAATTAATTGATTTCTTTTTTATATATATTTTAAATCATGTGCAATTCTGTAGCATTGCACACTGGCAGTTAAAAGACAGCTTTTAGTTTATTATTTTATAATCACAGAGTGTCCCTGTGAAGTGATACAAGCAGTTGTTTGGGTCAAAAGAAGAAATAATTGAAGGTATGAAAGTAAAGAAAGAGATTAAGTTCCCTCTACTAATTTACATGAAAACACTTCATTTGCTATTTTAAATAGTGAGAACTTTAGCCACTTAGAGGAATGCTGCAGAAATCTCAGTTTTCTGAAAATCACTGATGAAGGGCTTTGAGAAGGTTTTTTATTCTCTCTGTGATGGTTATGTTTTCTGTCATATTTTGTGCTATTTTGCCTGATACTGAGGTGTTCAGGTTTAGCCATCTGTACTTACTTGTATCCCTTCTGGAAACATGGTTATCATATTTGCCACTTTGCAGCCCTAAGACAGCTTTATTATATAAAACTATATTGTGCACATCTGTTTCACAGCAAGTCCCTTTAGTACTTCTGATGACTGATGTCACAGCAGTTTTGTACCTGTTAGTGGTTGGCTGTCAACAGCTCAATCAAGATATCTCATTCTGGTTTGTGGACTTGCATGTCTAATATTCACAAAGTGTTTGGATTTTGGCTTTTCAAAGGCATCTGCCTTTTTTCCTTCTCTCTTTTTCTGACAAATGTCCAAATCCCAGTGGGGCACTTAATTTATTTTTTCTTTTATTCATGCCATGTTGTGTAGCTCAGAAAAATGCCAGTTTACAGACTTCTAATAAGTAGAATATGACTATCAATGTAATTTTTTCCTGCAGTTTGATAAATATGGACAAATCACTAAAAGATTTGACAAACCACTCCAGAATCTTTGAACTTTAAAACTTCTGTTAGTAGTCTTTAGTTGAATTTTATTTAATTCATATTTAAGATTTAAAAGTTACCAAATTTGCTTACAAGCTTGATATAAAAATTTTAACAAAGGCTTTTGTTAAGTGGTACACTATGATCTTGGTCACTGTCAGGGTGAGGAACAGAATATATATTAAAATATTCAGCATGTGCTAAAAGGGCTTTTACAGACATCTGCATTGGGTGAATTTGAGAATAAAAGCATGAGGTTGAACTAACTTACATACCCAAAGCCTGTTTCCATTTTCTTGAACGTTCCTACACAGCACTGGAACTCGAGATTATTTTTCCTTCCTTTGCACCATTAAGCTGAAATATCCATTAAGATCAGATGGCCTTCCACTTTAAATATTTATTTATTGATGGTTTTGCTCAAAATGTTAATGTTCTGTTTATTAGAAGTTTATTTTCACTCGACCCTATTTTTTTATATGACCATTTTGAAAATACAGCGATTTTTAAATTGGGCAGTGAAAGTGTTTATATAAAACGTTATCTTGGTAATCATGGTTTTATTTTTCATGTTTTTATTGTTGATAGCAATACAGCTTGTTTGATTTTCTTTCTTTTTCACAGTTTTTGGCAGACATGGAGAACAACGCACTCTTTAGGGATGACATTGAATGTCAAAAGCTCATTATGGAAGCAATGAAGTACCATCTGTTGCCAGAGAGACGACCTATGTTGCAAAGCCCTCGCACCAAACCTAGAAAATCTACAGTGGGCGTTTTGTTTGCAGTTGGAGGAATGGATGCAACAAAAGGTATTGGCTTATGTAATGTTTAGCTGATGAGCTGTTTTGGTTCTTTTTAAAAGAAATGCTCGATAGATTTTTTTACAACCTGTTAAATTTTAAATTCAAGGATTTGGCAGTACAGAACAGGAAACATCTAAAGTGTATACTGTTTATTAGGTTAAAAAGGTCTATATATCTTTGAGACTGCTGTAAATATTCTGGAATCCAGAGTTCTGATTTGAAATTACCATAGGAATAGCTGATTACTGAGTAGTGAAGTGTTTAATTGAATACAAACTAATCTTTATTTACTTGAGGGGGCAGTAACTTGGAAATGGAAGAAGAGGTCTGAAAGGACACAAAGGTGGCCTAAACATGCTTAAAAAAAAGCCAAAACAACAAAAATATTTTGACTAATTGTTAAATAGTTCTGTCAGAACTACTTGGATTTTTTTTTTCATAGAAAATTCCATACTTTTTAATGGTAATTAGAAAGGATCTTGTAAGTTAGAAAAGTGAGAGCAGAGAAAGTGTTTTCTTTAATTTGTTGTTTTAAAGCTGTTTCTTGGTAGTTCATGTCACATACCATCAGCTTTTTTCTCTAATATTACAAAACAGTTGATTTCAATATGTGATTGCATTCCACATGGTTGGTTTATATTCCTAATATTTCTATTTCTAAAGGCTTGATTCTGCAAAGCAATTACAAAACCTGGTTTTTGTCTTGAAAAGCACCAAGAAAGTTGTCCTTTGTAATGGTGCAGGTAATTGCTTAGGAAGTCAAAAAAGACTACTTGTCTACACAGACTTAAGAATATGCTGCAGGGTATCATGGTGTCTTGTGGGAATCAGCATATTACTAAAATAAAAACTACCCTAGTGCTTCACAACTTGTTCTTTTTCCATATGTAACTTGCATATATTGTCATCAGGAGCTACCAGCATTGAAAAATACGAACTTCGTACCAACACGTGGACTCCAGTTGCAAACATGAATGGACGAAGATTACAGTTTGGAGTTGCAGTCTTAGATGATAAATTGTTTGTTGTTGGTGGCAGAGATGGACTGAAAACATTGAATACCGTGGAGTGCTACAACCCTAGATCAAAAACTTGGAGTGTAATGCCACCGATGTCCACTCATCGTCACGGTCTTGGTATGGACAGTTCTGTAAAGGCTGCCTGCATATTTTTTAAAGGTTACCTGGTCAAAAAAACCATTCAGAAGTAAAGTTTAGGGGGGTGGAAATTTTGTTTAGATGCCAACTGCTTATTCAATGTCCTTTCTCCTTCAGATTATATTGAAGATTGTATTTGGTAGCATCAGCTACCGAAAGGATTTTTTTTTCTTTTCAGTTTTGTGGTGCACACTGGACTGTCACTAAGAAATTCTGATATTTATTCCTCTTAATTTTCTGATCTTTATTCCCCTTAATTGTTTTCATATCTGTATTTTAGGAGTAGCTGTACTGGAAGGTCCCATGTATGCTGTAGGAGGACATGATGGCTGGAGCTACCTGAATACAGTAGAAAGATGGGATCCACAGGCTCGTCAGTGGAACTTCGTAGCTAGCATGTCAACTCCCAGGAGCACTGTTGGTGTAGCAATATTAAATGGAAAGTATGTGAAGGAGTTTCTGTTTTCAAATTTGAAATCTCATTATTTTAATGTAATTAAAAGACCATCTTAAATAACTATTAATAATTTCTCTTGATAGATATCAGTTATAAGCATTAAGAGCCAAGTTTCTTCATTCACAGAAGAGATACTGTGCTGGGTCAAGCAAGCCTCTCCACAGCATAACAGCTGTATGTCATGTGTACTAGGGCTCTCATCATCCTAGTGACAGTCAGCTGGACTTGCTTCAGTATGGCAAGATCTTTCTTATACCAAGAACCTGCTGCATTACAGTATGAAATTTGGCAGAAAATAATCCCCCTTGCATTCCAGCTGGTCCCCAGAGATCAGAGGGGCTGGGTGCAGCTGGGCCTAATTTCTGTTTATAAGCAGTTCATTGCTGTAAGTCTGGTTGCATTCAATACTTTAACAATCACAGATCCACAAACAGTGTGTTTTTTTGAAGCTATAGAAATGTAGATTTGGAGCTGCTGATTATGAATGCACTTACTGCATCAGCACTAAATATACTAAGGCTAATCAATGATTAACCAAGCAAAGTTAGAAATTCAAGCTAAATTAACAAATTCAGTCTCTTGCTTCACCCTTAATTAAGCTGAGTTTCACCTTGGTATGCACATATCCAGTCAGAGATGCAATTCTTACTAAAGAAGTGCCCCTGCTTTGGGAGTAGAGAGAGGTGCAAGCCATCTTTTGCCAGGGTGACACAGCAGACAAAAGCTACTGAGTAGTATTGTGGTTGTGGCAGAATATGTACACTCTATTGTCCACAAACTTTCACTTCCTGTCTATGTGCTATCTGTTCATCTCCCTTGAGCTACTTGAATGCTGCCAGGTAAGAAAAGTTTTTTCACGTTTTTTTAATTTTGGAAGCCTAGTCACTGGTAAATTAGTACTGCTGAAAGACACGTACAGAGTGTTCTCTAAGGTCTGGAATAAGTCCAAGAATGAGTGAAAATGCTCACTGCCAGGAGGGAGGGATGAACTTGAACAACTAGCAAGAAGAGTGCCTTGGCTGCCTTGGAACTGCAGTCTCAGATACCTAAGCTGGATCTTAAGCTTGCTATATATTCAGCAGTGGGTCCCAGATACAATGAAAAGCACCAGAATTAGAGCCTCACATTTCCCTATTGCTATAGAACATTGCCTAGACTCTTAATGGAGGCAACAACAAAAGATCACTACAGCTGACCTTTTTAAAACACATGCAGCATTTCAGATGCAGGAGCAGTAACTTCTGCACTTTCCTGTAATGTCTGTTTGTAACTTGGTTAAGTTTCAGTGATTGAAACTGAAAAACCTTCATATAGAGAAGTTAATATGGCTTTCTCCGTGTCCCGAATGTGAAATCACTGCATAAATGATCAAAACTCTCTCCACGCTTTGAGGGAAGGTAAAGTTGGGAGCTTCATAAATGTTATGTTGCATAAAGGATTGATTTTAGTAATGAACTTTATGGAACTACAACAGAGTTTTGGAGAAACCTTCAATATATTCCTTACCTTAAACAAGCTGTACTACTGAAGAATGAAACTTCCATGGATTTTTTTTTAAAGCTTATTAAAATTGTTACTGAGAAGGACTAGATCAACCATATTTATAAGATGATTGTATTTAAGTTCCTTGGTCAGTATATTTAAAAAACCAAACACTAGTGTTACCCAAACTGAGGACATCTTAAATAGTGCTTCATGGTAACCATTGTAAATTCACACTATCATTATCTACAGTATCTAATGTTTGTTTGATTATCTAGCCATTCTTAGGCTCTGAAATCATTTGAAGTGATTTCTCACTGGATTTTACTTCTGATGCATTGCTTCCTTTTTAGAATAGCTTCTGTGTTCCTACTTTTACAAATAATAGTGCTGGGCATGTCTGCTGCTATGCCTAGAGTGCTCATAAATTCTGTTCATAAGCTCTTCGTGAAGTTTGATTATTTGATTAGTTTTAAAGGTTCATCTGTGATTGTGTCCTCCTAAATCAATTTTTTTTTTCATTCATTTCAGTCAGCCCTTGCAAATAATTGAAATCCTCCATACCAAATGCTAGAAACCTTTTTCTTAGGACTAAGCAGATTGGGCTACCTAGTGGGTGTGAGGGATTTAAGGTGGTGCTGTCAGTCATGAACTAAAACCCTGGTCCAGAAAAGCACTTGAATGCCTAAGATGAGGCAGGGTAGAGATGGTGCATGATCCACTACTGAATTTGTCCTTCTGACCCTGCAAATCATATATGTAGTTTTGAAATTGTTAGTTATAGGCATAGGTTGGAATATAAATGCTGTGTAAGATATTCCATTTTCTGTAAATTATTGTTGTTATGCATTGATCATTACAATAGGAAAAGACTGGAGCAAAATCTTGCCTGAGTTTTCACAACAGAGCAGTCTACTGAAAGTTGAAAGTCCCCTTCTAAACTTCCCTTTTTAACAAACTTGAAATCCTTCATGTTTCACTAGAAATTGTCTTATTCAGACAACATTTATTTTCTTCTTTTTTTTTTTGTTTTACTTTGTAGGCTTTATGCAGTTGGTGGTCGAGATGGAAGTTCTTGTCTTAAGTCAGTAGAATGTTTTGATCCTCATACAAACAAATGGACTCTCTGTGCTCAGATGTCAAAAAGAAGAGGTGGTGTAGGTGTAACCACCTGGAACGGGTTCTTGTATGCCATAGGTGGCCACGACGCTCCAGCATCCAACTTAACATCCAGGCTGTCAGACTGTGTGGAAAGGTAATGTCCTGCTGGAGGCATATCCTGCCATGGGACTCTGACTGTGCTAGTCTGTCAGGAGATTTATGGGAAGAGCTGTAAGTAGGAACCCAATAGAATAGGTGTGTTATTTTTAGCATGAACAGAGGAAACTTACATATAAAAATATGCTGTGTAGGCATACTATGATTCAAAATGTTACCAGGACAGAATATTTAAAGAAAAATATTTAAATAAAATATTTAAATTCTTCTTAATGCAATTCATCTAGATTATTTTAACAATCTCATTGAATGAATTATGTTTGATAACTGAAACCATGTGGAGTTGATTGCTTTTAAAAATGGAGCAGCTCTTCTTTCACACAAGAAGTCTGAATCTATTCATATAATAACTTTCAAAGGAGTTAACAGTAAGGTTTGGTGGATCTTTATATATCAAATTCTTTCTTGCACGCTCTAATGACACTGGGAAATTGGCATGTAATTCAGTCATTCCTAGGTTGGTATATCTTTGTGTAAAGTGATTAATGAATGACTGTATCACAAATTGCAGTAGCACATGTGATCCATAAAATAATTTTAGAAGGTAGTAAATACTTCATAATTCACTGTATTAAATCTTCACTGGCATTTTAGGTATTTCTGAACTATGCTTTAATTCTCTCCCTGCTCCCCCACCACCAGCTGTAAAACTTTTCTTCTTTTCTATTACTTCCCAACACTTAGAGTAAGTCCTCATTGCCCATATTCTTCTTTTACTAAATTTATTCATGCCAGGATATATATTCTACCGTTAACCCCTAAAAAACCCAAAACAGACAAAAAAACCCCCACAAACCAAAACAGCAACAAAAAAAAAAAAAAAAAAAAAAAAACACAAAACAAAAACCAACACACTACAAAAATCCACCACAAGAGAGCTGTAGTTTTCAAACTTTGAGAGTCCTAGTAGAACTGAAAATACAGTGTGGCCCATAGCCCTTAACATGTGGAAGCTGCATTGAAAAGACCCCAGAATGGTTTGCAGATAGGAAGCTACTTCTCAACAAATACCAGATTTTTAGGGCTATACAGATAATCAGAAACCAAAGAGAAGTAAGTCTGTGTATTTTTCTACATCAGTATTTTCTGAAACAAAGTTACAGAACTCATTACTTCAATAAATTGGAATCATCTTGTAATGCATTTTGTCCTTGTTCTTTAAGTGAGTTGAAATTGAAGACCATCAAATTCATGGAACTAGTTCCTTTAAAAAATTAAAGAATTAAGAAATATTAATTTAAAATATCAGGCTTTTATGACCACACTAAACTTCTAAATTATATTTTGCAACAGAAGTTGCTATTCCCAGATAAATACAATTGCTTATAAATTATAAAATAATTGGAAAAGTAATTTCTACATTTAACTTACTAATCACCCTCTTCTGTTTGCATGTGTGCTTCAAGTAGTGTTTTTGTTACAGTTATGCTTGCATGCATTTGTGTAATACTTTGACTAGAGGACAGCAAATAAAATTGTTAGAGCTCTTTGTATCTATGCTCTTCATGCAAATAAATTAAGACTTCCGTCTTTCAATTTGTTTTTAGTAAGTATGATGTTAGCCAAATAATTTTCTTCGTACAGTTTTTAGAGCCCTTCAGAGCTCTGTAATTACATTAGTTCTGCTGTAAGCATCTGCAGTCTTAAAAAAGATTGTCCCTTTTAGTCAGATTAAAATATATTCCTTGCCATAAGCATAGCATGGAGTCTCCTATGTAGTTCTCAATTTGACTTATAAAGAATGTTGATAATGTTCTAGAACCACACAATTTTTTCATTAAGCCATCTGCTGTTTCCTGTACTGATACTTCTGATTTCAAAAGTGTTGTAAATTGTCTAAAGGGTTTTGTATTTCCCATATGATTTTTTCAAACCACTTTTGGGGGTCATATTTTTGAAATTGGTAATCTTAGTAATGGTAATCTTAGTGCCAAACCAAATTTTACCAGCCTGTGCTTTGACATACTTAAAGCAAGCACTTGCTCTACTGTGGTGTAGCAGCAGACCTGTTTGTGGCATGGCATGTTTAGGCATACAAAATGTAGTAAGAGCAGCTGTATATGGCTGTATGACTATTTGGAAAGCAGCAAGAAGTAGATACATGGCTAGTAGTGACTTGTGTTACCAGATGACTAAAGAAACAGCTTCAAAGGGAGGGGAATTGAGGGGGAAAGTCCTTTGAACAGATCTGTGCTGTTCTGTTTTCTACTACCTTGACAGCATCAATTCCAGTACCTTTTGTTGTTGTTGAATTTTGGTAACAGTTTTAGTGCATAACACAAATTCTCTTTTAGGTATGATCCCAAAACAGACATGTGGACTGCTGTGGCCTCTATGAGCATTAGCAGAGATGCAGTAGGGGTGTGTCTTCTTGGTGACAAGTTGTACGCTGTTGGAGGATATGATGGGCAAACATATCTTAATACTGTGGAGTCTTATGATCCCCAGACAAATGAATGGACACAGGTATAGTTTCTGATCAGACCATACACTACTATTAATATTGTTATTTCAAATGTGCCTCCTTTTGCAAGGAGAATTCAAATATTCCTTCTCTAAGAAGCAGTTTCTTAACAGTCTGTTGTGAATCTCTTTTTTTCCTTGGTGTACCATCTTGAGATGACTTCTCTTGAACAGACAGTTGTTAATTTCCAATAAACTGCCCTCCATTCTTTTGCAATAGTATAGCTATTCTCTTTGACAATTTCAGCTACTTTTAAAGAAATGTATTGCCACATTCCCCAAACTGTCATAAAGGATTCTGTTTACATGACTTCCTGATAAATGATAAATGCAGATTTGTTTTAGCTCTAATGTGTCTCTAATGTGTCTCTCAACATTTATTTCATCAAGGTTTTGGTCATTTTTTCATAAATAATCCCTTCCTGCAGTGTATGCAGGTTCCAGAAGGCCTTTACCCATTTTTCTTTTTGCAGCTTTAAAATAAAAATAATTCTACAGTTCATGCTCAGAAACTATTACTGTCAGTTCAGAGCTTGGTTACTTTTATATAGCTCCAGGAATGTGTGTCTCTGTGGGAAGAGCACACACAAGGACATCCTGAGCTGACTGTCCTTTGGTATCTAATGCCATTTGAGATACCCTAAAGCATCTACATCCACCAAAGGTTGGCAGATACAGCACAGACTCTGTGGGACACCAAGGCCCTCCTGGAGTCCAGTTGCAGACCAGGATGAATGTCCAAGCTCATCTGTAGTAGCATCAGACACCAGTATTTAGGCTACTGAGTTCTGAGCCACCTGGATGTGTTGTTCTGGTAATAGCCCCAAGTTCTTAACTCAAAAACAGAACTAAACTGCTGTTTATAAAAATTCCTGGAACACAAAAAAACTCAGCTGTCCATTTCCCTCCATTTCATACTGCTGCAAGCTCTTAAAACACAAGTCATCAAGGAGGATCATCAGAATTTGGGGCATTCACTGGTACTGGTAATGATAATCCATGGCATTGTTAGTCCTGCTAAAGAAAAAAAAGTGTATCAGAGAACAGAAGGTGCTTCTCACCAGAGGAGAGAGACTGTGCTTCTCATCATTGCATCTAAATGAATCTCACATGTCTAGGTGGTGATCAGCTGTATGTACCTCTGTATCCTTAGCCTTGACCCTCTATGTCTCACTGAATGCCACAATCCCAGTATATAGGATAGTTTCAAACTTTTGGGATTAGGAAATATTAGGAAATAGGAATATTAGGAAATACAGAGGGATTAGGAAATATTTGTGTACCTTCCTTCTCTTGTTATGTTAGCAGTCTGCCACTTCTTCATCTTCACACAACTCAGGAGAAGGCAGTGGAATTTTCTCAGGTGAAGGTTGTCAGAGCCACAGACAGCTCTGTAAAAGTCTATTGTACCTGGGAAAGAAAGAAATACGGGAAATGGCATAAACAGCTTTTTTGTCTTCAGGATAGTCTCTGTACTACTTGGTGTGCTATTCACATATATTGCAATACTATTAAATTTAAAAGGGGAAGCAAAGGGGAGTGTTAGAAACTACTGCCCTCCATTCAAGTCCAGCAAAATCTCAGCAGAAAAGAGTATTGCCAGAAGTAAATTCTGTTTGCAATTAAAGAATAAAGACTGGTAAATTTGTTCTGATTTCAAGAACTCTTAACAGGATTTTATCAAATAATCAAGTAAAAAGGAGAGGTTGCCCCTATAATTTTAGGCATTTTCTGTTTCTGAGAAATGCATTCTTTTACCACCTTTACTCAGTTGTCTGATTGTCTAGCTCAGGTATCCAGTTTGTACTATAACAAAGGTTTCTTTTTCCTGTAATACTGAATAATTGAAATTATTAATAAGAATTGTTTGATGTCCTTAGGCTTGCTATTGTTTTCAGAGTGCTTCACTCTGTTATATAAAATATCTTTACCTTTGCTTTGTGTTTGTATCCAATTTTGGACCAATTTGTAAGTCATGTTAACAGAGCAGGGGTGATATTGTCATTCTGCTGCAGCCATATAATTAGGGGGGGAAATTACTTAAAACTGATTGCACTCATCTGACAGATTGTTTGTTTGTTTACAGGTTGCACCACTGTGCTTAGGAAGAGCTGGAGCATGTGTTGTGACTGTAAAACTCTGAATTATTTTCTCTGGGAAGATGACATTCTCCTGTGTAGACTCAGAGGATTATTTTTTCCTCAAGCAAACTGCAAGTGCGTCAATCAGCACCAGGTGCAGGATATCTACCACAGCAAAGTGTTTGGTCTGAAGTTGACATGATGTTCTTATGGACCAATATTAAGCACTTTTTAAAAACTTTTGTTATGCATATGTTACAAGAATTCTTCTTGTAAGAAAGTCACCTGCAACCTGCCAATTGGCAGTAGAGGACTTCTGTTTAGGAAGTGCTAAGAAAATGAGTGAACTCACTATAATAATGTTATGGTTCTGGGGCCTTGATTTCCCTAAATGCAGAGCAATGATGCTATAAATGGATATACTTTGATATAATTGGGTCTATCTCTGGATGAAACAAGTTATAGGATTGGACCCTGTAGATTTAATTTGCCTGTAATAAATGCAAATAGGTATCTGAGTAACTACAAGGCAGGCTAGCATACCAATGCAAACTATTGTAAATGGCAGGTGTCATGTCTGCCTTGGAAATGAAGTTGTGTATTTGGTAAATCTTTTGCACTTTTTAGCATCATTCCTAGTTTAGCAAACTTTTTATTTAACCAAAGCCTTATTTTAAATATTGTCTTATGCTAATAGAAACCTGCTATTTAATAATTTCTGACAGGTATTTTTGACATCCAGTGTACTTTTTGGGTTTTCAGAGTTGTTATGCAAGATGCAGAAGATCATACCTTTTGCTCTGCTTTGGTTCTTGTATTTACTTTGCTGTTTGTATGCATTATTGGAAGAATTCTAAAGTGTGATTAACAATTAACCAATTTAAGTTTAATATTTGCACTTTGGAATTTTTGAAGCATTCCATTACATTAGACTAATTACATTTTTAAATGAGGCTTTGCACTACTATGAGAAGTATACTTTTATACTTATATACTTTTATAAGATGAAGAAATTGTCTGTCTTTCCTGTAAGATTATTTAAAAATGTAAAGGGCCCAATCCTGCCAGATGCTCAGCTGCCACCATTTAAGCATGTTCAGCATCTTACAGGACAGTGAAGTGTTCCTCGCAGGGCTGTATTAAATTAGTTACCTTATTTAACAGTTACCTAATTTTTTAAGATACTTCATAATTTGCCTTTCTCGAGCCCTCTGCTGTTACACCGAATTGCTTTGAACGATCTAAATGTTCTCGGGAGAAGCCTTTTTGTATTTGCTTTTATGTGCCTTGTCCCTTATGTTCTCCGAACAGCACCGCCCGTGAAAAACGGGAAGATGTGAACTCATTGAATGTTTTGGTTTTGTTTTTTTTTAAAAAAAAGTTTGAAGTGCCCGATACCCGAAGTCCTTTGTACATTTCTAATTTTAAACGTGTGTTTTAACGCTCTCGGCGAACTATTTATTGTTTTAAAAGAAATCGGTGACACTTTGTGATGAAGCTTTGCAGTTGGAATACAGCTGATCTCAAGAGGCTTTGCTGGCGAGTTGTGTGCCTTTATTCCCTGTTTAGAAGCCCGTTCTGCGTGACCGCAGTCTAAAACCCTGCATTTCCTCTGAGAACCGGGGGCCGCCGCCTCACGCAGAGCTCCTCCCGCCGGGGCCGGGCCCGGGGCCGCTCTCTGCCCGCCCCCGGCCCGCTCCGTCTCCGCGGTGACGGCGGCGCCGCGGGCGGGCGGCGCATGCGCGGTGCAGGCGCAGGCAGCCCGCTCTGGTGGCCGCGATGAAGGTGGGTCCGGGCGGCCGCGGGGCGCCGGGGCCGGGCGGGGGGCGCGGGGCCCGGCCCGCGGAGCGAGCGGGCGGTGGCGCTTGCGGCCTGGGCCGGGGAGGGAGGCGCGGCGGGAAGGGCCGGCAGCCAGCGGCAGGGGGGCCTGGTGTGCTTGCCGGCACTCCCGCGTTTGTTTACTTTCGCGAGGAGAGACTTCGGGTGGAAGGGAGCTTAAAGGGCATCCAGTTGCAACGCCTCTGCGATGGGCAGGCACATCTTCCAATCTTCCACTAGCCCAGGTTGCTCAGGGCTCCATCCAGCCTGGCCTTGTACGCTTCCACGGATGAGGTGTCCACAACTTCTGCGGGAAACCTGTGCCAGTGCCTTTCCAACGTCGCAGCAAACTCTTAGTAACTAATCCAAACCTACTCTCTCAGTTTGAAGCCATTCTCTCTTGTTCTGTGGTTGCATGCCTTTATAACAGTCCCTCCCTATCTTGTATGTTTCCTCAGGTACTGAAAGCCCACAGTTAGGTCACGCCAAAGCCTTCGCTTCTCCAGGCTGAGCAATTCCAGGTCTCTCAGCCTTTCCTCATAGATGGAGAAGTGCTTCATCCCTCAAATCATCTTGGCGGCCCTCCTCCTTAAATTATTTTTTTCAAAATCAAACATCATTGTCAGATGTCGTTTATGAGTGTGGCATGTGGTGGTTGTGTTTTTGCTGGTTTTGTGAGCAGAATGCAGATTCAGTGTGAAGAATGCCTCAGTTATATTGACCCAAAAGAAGGGATAAGAACCTGTGGCAGACGAGCAGACCTCACAGGCATTTGGTGGACAGCAGGTGTTGGTGCTTATCTTATGACACGTAGGGATGTAAGTCACGATAGCCAGCTGCGAAACAAACTTTGTGGGCTTTATCTTACACCCAGGTTACAGAAAAATATCTGTGGGTGGTGTGAAAGGAAAAGGATGTTCAGAAATTTTCTCCTTTGGAAGTCAGAATCTCTTTCTATAGTGTGTTGGTTTGAGATCTTAGCTTTTAAGACCCAGCAATTCAGAGTAACAAAAAGATTACCTGTCCCTAAAAGAGTGAATGTTGAGCCTTCTCTAGTTTGTGTTTGCAAACTAAGGATGCTTTCTGGTCCCAGAATTTTCCATTAAATTTAGAGAACTATTAACGATGTGGTCTTTGAACTAGAAGGGGAGAGTCTCATGCAATTTTTTTTCTTGTAACTAAGAGGCAAAAATAATAGTTTATTATTAATAGAGCTGCAGTTCTCTATGTGAACACCCAGCAGCAGAAACTTCAATTTTTTCCACTCAAGTTGAAAGAACGTTTATCTGGGATTTTGCTACTTCAGTGCATTGGAATCACACAGAAGCTGTTTGTGGTGGAGGGGGGGTTACCTCCACCGTACTCACTTACTAACATGCTAGGCAGCTGTAGTATTCTTATATATGATGATTTTAAGATGTATCATTTCCTACTTTTTTTTTTTCTTTTTTTCCTCCAGCAAGTATTCAGTCTGTATGAAAAAGCTTGGTCTGGTTCTCCTGTGCAGTTTGCTTGGCAGAAAACTTTAGGAAATTTTCTTGCTGTAATAGGGTAAGACTGCAACTATTCGTTGTATTTGTCCATCAAAATTGCTGATAAAGAAAGGGAATTATTCTATATATTAATCTTTTTTAGAGGTGATCGTTCTGTGAAAATTTTTGATCGTCATGGTCAGAAGAGAAATGAAATCAACCTGCCAGGGTAGGTACTAAGATAGGTTTAAATTATTTTCATTGTTGTTTTTTTTAAAAATGCTTCTCTTCTGGTGAGGTGCTTAGACAATGGGAGAAATTTGTAGGATGATATACTATCTCTGGTGAAAATACCTGGCAGAGAAGACAAATTATGTAATTAAAATGTAAAAAAAAAAAGACCTATCCCATTAAGAAGGCTCATAATGAGGTTGTGTGCAATATATCCTTGCATTCTTGCTATTGTTGATTTTCTAACAATTTGTTATCGTGGTTTTGCTGAGGAAAGGTACTTTTTTGGTTTAGTGCTTCTGTTTACATCAGTGGCATAACTGTACACATTGGCATTGTTGCTTTAGGTCAAGATGATACTTTTTTCCCAGATTATCACACTCCGGTTCACATCAGAGAGTGGTATGGAAGTTTACAATGTGGATTTTTTCAGATTAAATCTAAAAACTTATGTACTTTAGGAGGATATATTGAACTTCTTAAAAGGTAGTGAGACCATAGGAGCAGGCTGGATATGGACCAGGGGAAACCTCCTTAGGGAAAAATGGTATGACATTGGGTCATCATGTTGGTTTGCTCAATAAATACAATTTTATTAGGCACCATTAATACCTCATGTTAGTTTCCTTTGTGTACTGTTCATCTCTTCTTAGCACTTTAACTGTTCTTAATCATCATGGCAATTTTTAATTTTATTTCTAACTACCTGATGAATTCCAGTTAAGATAGACCCCTTAGTCAAGGCAAAACTCCCATGGTCTTTAAGGCTGAAACCTCTAGTCAAGAGTATAACTAATTTCCAAATCATCACTTACATAGCCCTGTGTCATTGGTTAGTATGAGGCAGAATCACTCAGTTCCTCAAGAAGTCTAGAAATCCAGTCTTTGTAGTTTGTGGTAATTGCCACCTTGCACCAAACCAGGAGATGCAATTCTCAAAGTCTTTACCAGACTCACATGTTTTTCACTGACCATCACACCTTGCTGTTCAGGTTAGGTGTCGTTCATAATATGGTCTGGCTGTGTCAGTCTCTTTTGCTTGGTAATATCCATGGCCCAGCTCTTTCTGTGCAGTGTTTTGCACAATGTGTGATAAATGCACATTCTCTCCAGAAAATTGTCCAAAATGAGGAGAGCTGTGTGGAATCAGAGATGTATTATCAGAAAAGTAATCCCAAATCTGAATGGCCTCTAACAAACCACAGTCTTACAGAGGACTTTCAGTGTCTCTTGAAAATCAAGGTGACTGTATTTCAAGTACTAGAACATAGGTAGCAGTATTTTTTATGACCTTCCTCTCAGCCCCTGTCATCAATGAGATTTGAATAAGAGTGGGGTTGCTATGGAAATAGTTTACAGATAAATCTCCAATCTGGGTTTGCAGGGGAGGAGAAGGGAAAATAGGGACTCAGTTGCATAGTTCTGTACACTTACAAACACATTTTAACATTCCTAGTGATTTTTTTTTTCTTCAGTAACTGCATTGCTATGGACTGGGATAAGGATGGAGATACTTTAGCAATAATCACAGACAAATCTAGCACCATATTTCTGTGGGATGCAATCACAAACAAAACAAGCCAAGTAGACAGTGGCATGAGGTAAGAAATTTTTTTTTAACGTGGGTATTTAAAGAGTTTTACCATTGTGACTTGTTGATGTGGAGGCTATATTTCAAGAACATCATTTTATTGGAGTCCTCATAATATATATACTAATTAAACTAATATGCTACAGTTCATTGCTAAATTATTTTAATATAAATATGTATTTTTATTATAAATTTTAATAAAAATTATATTTTTATATAAAATATATAATTTGCTGGGTTTTAGGTGTTTGTTATGGATGGGGATTTTGGGGGTTACAGGATGTTTGTTTATTTTTTGAGTGTCAGCAGTGCAATTGTCTCTAGAGCACTTCTCTTCAATGTTTCTGCGGTAGCAACAAGGATGGGTGAATTTTTCATGTATCTGCACTTGCTACTCTTTCTCCTAAGTCTTTCACACCAGGTAAAGGAAGCATAAAAGTAAGGGAAGTGATGTCAGTGGTGCTAAGAATTTTTTTTCCCCTTAGATTAATAAGGGGGCTAAAGTGCTATTCACAAAGTAGAGTAGTTTAAGATGAAAGGAGATATCTAAGGTTCTAAGCCTTACCTTTCTGAATTTGGCCACAGACTTTAGACTCTTCTGGGGTCTGCATAACCATCAAGCATTGGGTTAATAGATAAGCTTGGTTTAACAATTAAACTTGTGGCTTCTTTAAGTATATTCCACTAAACTCTTGCATTCTACATAAACATTCTTCTTGTAGGAGAGAGAGTGGAAACAACTCTTTCCTGTGTTGGTTAAGATGTATGTTATACATATATGATATTGAGGGAATGAATAGACCATATTGTACCATTTTCATGTGTGAGCAAGTACTATGGGGAGAAAAGTAACCTGCCAGTATGCAAG